GAGAGAGAGAGAGAGAGAGAGAGAGAGAGAGAGAGAGAGAGAGAGAGAGAGAGAGAGAGAGAGAGAGAGGGAGAGAGAGAGAGAGAGAGATGCACACAGGCACATGCACACACGCAAAGGAATGGCCACTCTCTCTCCTCTCAATGGCAAGGATTCCTGCTTCCGGTCATTTACCGACCAATCTCTCGCGTCAACCGAGGGGGACAGATATGTGACAATTGTATCCCCCTCGGCCTCAAAATCTCCCTTCCACCCCCTTCTTCCCATTAGCCAGGTTGGCTCCAACGTCTGCACGCAAGCCTTACTGGCGGCTCTTGTCCACTTCCGCACGCTGTCCGGCAATTGACAAACCACCATGTGAGTACGAATATAAGTATTCTGCAGGTACGTTACCTCGTTGACCGGCCTGGTGACGCACCTGCAATGCAATTCACGAGACCGTTTGCTGGTAGTGGCTGGTTTAACATGTACGCGTACGCCTGCCTGATGAGCTCCATCAGGCCCCATCGATCCCACCCTCCCGACGCCAACCAAGATCCCATTCCCACGCTACCCACCTCCATGGCCTCTCCCCTCTTCCGCAACCGCTGTTCTTTCCCCGTCAACACCCCCACTTTGTCCCTAATTGTTTCCTCTACCATTCCCCCCCTTCACCCCCACCCCTACGTTCACCCCGTGATTAGTCACCTTCGGTGTTACGGACTCCGCTAGGGCTCGATCCCTGGTCTACTTTTTGCTGTTTCTGCTGCATCCCGTTTTTGGCCTGGCACCCTTTTTCCAAACCCCTCCTTTGGTACCGTCAGATTTTGGACAACTGGCGCCATGCTGCAATTCGGGCGCCACTTTCAAATGCCGCATTTTTCAGTTCTGCCCTCGGGGCTTTTGCAGAAATGCCCCTGGTACCGTACGTGTCACTGGTACTTGTACCGGCTCCTCGTACGGTACTAGGACCAGTCTCGTACCAGTTGGAGCTGCTGTACTCGTACTCAGTGGGACTTGCTCCTGTTTTCGGCATTCGGAATCCAAGACTTCGACTTTGTGTCCTTGCCACTGTGTCTGTGTCCGACCCTGAGTCGTGTTGAGTGAGTGAGTGTGTGTGTGTGCTCTCACTCTCGCCCTCTCTCTCCCCTCTCCCTCGGCTCTCCCTGTCTCCCTCAGCCTCACGCCTGTCACACTGGTATCGGACCGGTTCGAACCCGCCCGACCCACCCTGCTTCGTCGCTGTGCCACGTCATCATCGTCATCGTCGAAATCGTCGTCGCCGTGCCACATCATCATCGCCGAGAACATCGTCGCTGTGCCACGTCATCATCGTCATTGTTGCGATCGTTGTTGCCGTGCTCGTCGTCCTCGTCGTTGTGCCCCGTCATCCTCGTCGTCGCTGTCGCTGTTCCACCAGCGCAGATAAGTAATCGACGACAATTTTTTTTTTCTTTTCTTTTCTTCTTCTTCCAATTATCTTCTTCTTCTTTCTCTTCGTTCTTTTCTTCTTCTTTTCTTCTTCTTCTTCTTCTTCTTCTTCTTCTTCTTCTTCTTCTTGTCGCGACCCCGCTCCGGTCCCGCCCAGCGCGCCCGTTACACTGGTCCCCCTTCCACCCTGACCTCCCTCCCCAACTCCTTCCTCACTCCCCGATCCTGTCCCCCCGATCCTGACCCCGTTCCCGCTTCCCCCACCTTCCTCCCCCAGCGCGATCCCCCACACACCCCTTCCCCCGCGCACCGCCACCTTCAGCCCGCGCTGCAATGACTTGCTGATTTCTGCTGCCGAGTCTGTTTGCGAGGCTGTACACTAACCGTAGGGTTAGATTCACAATTTTGTTTGGCTGAGGGCTAACCGAGTGATTTGGCTGTTGGGAAATTCGCGAGGGACAGACCTGTAATTCTGAGGGACTACAGGCCCTAAACTAACCGAATCCCTACTACTACCTTAACTGCCTATAGCAGGCCCGGGCTACCCTAGGACAGACAGGCCCTAAGCGGCCTATACTGGTATACGGTCCTATAGCCTATAGCCGGGTCCGGTAGAGGCCGAGAGGCCGAGAAACAGCAACGGTGCCGGTAGGTCCAGTCAGTCCAGTTTCGGTCTAGGCTAGTGTAGGAATCTATAAGGCTAGGAAGGAAATTGATAGGGGGACTTTTGGCTTTCATTTTTCGCATGCAGCGTTGGTGGCCAACCAAGTTGAGCAGCGCTGAATGTCTGCAGTGGCACCGGAGACATCARCCGTGAGTGGAGCAGCCATAGCCCGCCACCTGAGACAGCCATAGCTGGGGCTGTACTCAGCGCATCTATCCCCTGGGGGATATCTGCGTTGGCAGGACTATCTRGGAGGTCTTCAAAGAGTACATGTGGGTACTATTGCTGCGGTAGCAGCTAGGCAGCCATAGCTGCCTTCTTCATCGTCAGAGTGACTCCTCGGCACTGGAGASTACTTCGTTGTTCATGATCTGCATCTGGGTGGATGGCGCTGGCCTCTGGGAGGCTGATGTTGTGCAGCGCTAGACTYTGAGAGTGTAGTAGTGAGTGGAGTGTGTGGTACTTG